AGGGAGGGCGCAGGTGAGAGCTTTAACTTAAAAGTAGCTGTTGGCCGGTGGCCGCGTCCCGGCTGGAGTCGTCCTGTGAAAGCCCGCCTTGGCCTTCCTGAGCCCGCGTGCCTCTCGCGTCTAGGGCGACACCTTGGGGATGTCATTGTAACGTCCCGTTTTCCGCGCCGGCGCAGAGACGCCAGTCCCGAAATTGCCCTGTTGCTGACCGTTGCCTGCCCCGCACCCACCTAGGTGAAAGCTGCACAGGCCCCTCGTTTTACTTTGCACCCAACCCCAGAGGTGTCCCCGCTTTGCCTTCTCCTGCCTCCCTCACCTGTCACCCGTGGATCTCATGGGACCCAGTTATGTATTCCCCGGTCACCGTGATGCATAAAGTGGGGTGCAAAGCTGCCATTCTCTGGAGCATCATCTCAGCCCCTCGAGATTCTGCTTCCCGGCAATTGTCCATAGCTTGGCTCAAATAAACTCACAAAAATTCTTCCCGGGTTTAAACGTTTCTTAGGACACCTTGCTTGTCCCCAGGCCCCACCAGCTTCCAAAGGTTCTCCTGGCCCCCAGCCTCCCCCTATCCCCATGGTGGCCGCACCACTCACCCCACTCCTGGCCTCTGCCCTTGAGAGGCACCGCTCTGCGCTTTTGCCTTTGGGGAGTCGAGAACTAAAGGTTACGCCAAGTGTTGTAGGAATGCTGGGATGAACTGCTCTTGGACCTGGGCACAAGGGTCTCCTGTCCGGGGCCCCAGGAGTTAGCTACTAGAAAATAGGATTTTGCTACTAGAAAATAGGACCCCGACTGCGCGTGCAGCAGTGACATTCTTTGGGTCAGTTCAAAGCACAGAGGGTTTTTAGGGCAGGGAAAATACTCTGTATGATACTATAACGGTGGATACGTATAATTATACAATTATCCAAACTCAGAATGTACAACATCGAGAGTGAACCCTAAGGTAAACTGTGAACTTGACATGTTTGCTCGTCCTGGTCCGCAGTCAGGTGGGTAAGAGAGTTGTTAACTACAAATGTGCCTGCAGTCAGAAGCAGCAGGCAGTGTGAACCCCGTGACCTCCCCAAAGGGCACTTAGAAAACCCAGATCTGACCTTCTGACCTTAACCGTGTGAGGGCCGTGGCGGGGTCACTAAACCTCCCCATCTTCTCACCTGGCAGAGAGGACTCCAGTGGCCCCAGGCTCTCGGGCGTCCCCCCAGGAGGAACCCATGGGAGCTCCTGTGTGCCTGCCAGGGTGACAGGGCCACCTCGTGAGTAAGGAACACCTGGACCACAGGGTCACCAAGCTGACCTCCAGGGCAGGAGCCCGTACAGGTGCCCC